GTCTTTTAATTTTTAATTTTTAAATTATTAAATACCTAAATTTTTAAATATGAAATCTTAAACTCTAAAAAAATCTAAATCCTAACACATTAAGGCCAAATTTGAAAAAAATTCAAACCTTAACATCATAAAATATAGAATCCAAAAATCTAAATTTTGGAACCATAAAATATATAAATCAAGCAATTTAAACCCAAATGCCTTAAATACTAAACCTTAGAAAAATTTAAATACTAACCATAACACATTAATCACAAAACTCTAAAATTTTTAAATCCTAACAAGATTAGTTTAAATTAGTTCAACTAGAAAAAGTAAGGGGACTAAACTGGAGCTAAATTGTTAAAAATAGAGACTAAATATCAAATTTACCCTTAAAAAAGGAAATCCATGGGACGCGGCATGTGCCACATCAACATCGGCCTTTTGTCGGCCTGCAGGGGTCGGTCCCCTAACATTTTTCGGAGCTTTAATAGTGGGTCAACAATTTTATTTTTTTTTCACAATCATGTATATAATACACAAAAAATTGTTATAGTTCAGATTTTAAAATAAAACTCTCTATAATACATAAACTACATTATATAAATAATTTATAAATAAATTAATTCGTTTTACTAAAAGTTTGTTTCAATTTATTTTTGATGCATCGAATACGTATTATTTTTAAGTAAGTGAACCTAATCGATTATGCAGTATAAGATGAGTAAAATATCGTAAAATATCGTTTTCTCGAGGACTATCCTACACTACCAAGACACTATTAATCTAACTTAAGTTGAATTGACCAATTAATGGGGAAAACTAAACTATTTAAAAGAAAACTAAGTAAACTAAGGAAATTAAACTAAAGAATTTTCTAAATTAAAGAAACTATGAATGAGAAGGAACTAGAATTTGGATTTCATTTAATTCTGAATTATACAACTATTTCATTAATTTAATTCAACTTCAAATAATAATGTTATCTCATGAGATTGTGGATTTTCTTAAATTAATTAACTAGCTTTCTCAAGTCAAATTAATCTTTAACTTGTTTATTAAATTAATCATATTTTTATGTAATTTTAAACAAACTAATGAGTATTAAATTCTATGAAAACCTCTAACTTAAGAAGGGGGAACTACTAATCCTCTTCTCTTCCTCCACTATCATATGTGAGTTAATTACCTCTCGGTCTCATAATCTAACACATGGTTTATATTATTATTAATCTAATCTACACAATTCTTTCTCGAGTTCATGCATAATTCACTAAATCAATTGAAAAGTAATCAAGCTCTCAATGCATTAATTTCAATAATATAAACTCATCATGCAAATAACCAATAAATCTTGAATTAAACTAACAAAAACAGTCACATAGTCCAAAAATTTAAATCCATCCATCCCAAGTTCAAAGAAATCTAACCACGCATATTCATGTTCTCAACAGTAATAATTCGGAAATCCTAGCAGACAATCATGATAAAAATCGAGTTAAAGATCAGCAAAACCCGTCCCAATGGAGAACTACTGCTGCTGTCCAACCAAAGTCTGCAGAAAAGAGAACAGAGGCTGGGCGCTGCGTCTGGGTCTTGGTCCTCTACAGAATTTTCGAGAAGCAACCCAAAAAAAATAAATAGATGTGCACAGCTTCCTTCTGCAGATCCAGCAGCTGTATTGTTCCTTCCGTGCAGAGCAGATTCGGGGCTTCCTTCCAATTAGGCTGGGCGGCTGCTTTTCCTCCAATGTGCAGAGCAATCTTGCGCGGCTGTGTGTTTTTCTCAATTCTGTCGAGTAGCATATATATATATTCAGAAATTAAAAACCCTTATTTCTTTTAACCCTAGCAGACATGGGTTATGGGCTTTATTTTGGATCTGGACTGCAATTAGTCCACACTTAGAAAACACAGCCCAATTCTCTTTATTTTTGCACTCTGTCCATTGTCAAAACCGTCCACTTCAACTTAAATTCTGTATTGATACAGTAGGAACTGGGTTGAGCTCATAAAACATCAATTGTAGCTCTGCTTCTTAGCTTTCCAACGCCTGAAGAATCAACTCAATCCGATACCTAGAGAAAAAGATATGATTAAATTACTGCAGCATGTGTAAATTATCATTTATTATAAAATTAATTCCTATCTTTATTTTCACCTACAAATAATGAATTTAATATAAACAAAGGTGAAACTAAGTTACAAAGGACCCATAAAATTTAATTCTAGCTCAAAAAGGGTAGATAAATGCATATAAAAATTAAACTCATCAATTTTCTTCATTTATTTATAGTAAATTTAATTTTTTATTTAATAAAATAAAAATATAATAATTTATCGATAAAAATTTATATTTATTTTTAATTA